ATATATTTATTAGTTAAGTAAGTAATGAAAAGTTTGATAATCTGTATGGATAATCCCAAGGAGGATATTACTATATATATATATATATATATATATATAGAGAGAGAGAGAGAGAGATAGAGAGAGGGAGGAGAGAGACATTATATATATATACATCTATAGACACACATTATTTATATACATACATTTTTATACATGTTTCATTGAAACTATGGTGCCTTCCTCGATGAATTTCATCTTACCATCAAGAAACTGATTAAACAACTTGAAAGGATCAGTATAAAAATAAATAGAAACAATATATCTATATTATTCTAAGACACATGTTTGAATAAAGATATGCTGCATATATATATATATATATATATATATATATATATATATATATATACACACACACACACACACACACACACACACACACACACACACACAACACAAAGACTTGGTTTTCAAAACAAGTCTTGGTCTGAATATCACATTGAAAATAATAGTAACCATGCAGTGTTGATTCCTATGTCTACACTGTCTATATCAATAAATGCTCTATCTCCAATATTGAACTCTCTTCCCTTATAAATGTGACAAGTTTTAACTCTGTGTAAATATATGCATATGAGTTGTAATGGTAAATACATAAAACAATTTGGAAAACTTGTACCGAATACTGATATGAAATATCCGCTAAGCATGGAAAGCAGAATGAGAATAACCTACATAATGGACAGAATAAAGGGTGCAGTTTGAAATTCCAAGGTTACCAAGTACGAAGACAGACAGGGTGTACAAAGATCAAAACATTTTGAGTATAACAATTCATGTCGGTCTGAATAGCAAAGCAGTAAACAAATTCAATACACTGGCTGAACTTATTTTGTCTTAACATTTTTGCAAGAACAAGTTCTATAGTTTTTGAAAATAGAAAAAAATAACTTTCATTGTTTTTTTGCTTAAACCATATTTTGAAGTAAAACTACACACAATAAAAATATCTAGATAATACTTTGAGCATCAGGTGTTGATGAGTGCAAAATATTCTTCACAGGTTATGCATGCATAATGTCACAAAGAGTAAAATTTATCTTGAGCAGTAAGCATCCCTGGAAGACATTAGGAAATGACATCATCATTGGCCTTTAACAAATATGATTATGACAAATCATTTTAGAGTATATCAGAATTGGGGTCCTAAAAATAAGTTTAAATTGAAATACAAAGAAATTGAAGGAATGAGTTTTCTATCCATTATAATTTTCTTTTCTTTTTTTGTATCCTGTCTGTTGTATTATGAATCTTACCTATTATAAAACGCAGATTGTGTGTGTGTGTGTATGTGTGTCTGTACATTTATATATTGGATCGGATTTCCTACATTTTTCAACTGATTTCAACAAAACTTCACAGGACTGTGTAAAATTACCTTTATGTGGTTCTGACAGCGACAAAAATTGGAAAAACACAATTGTTTTTTACACAGAAATCAATTTGAAAACATGATAAAACATGATTCTGTCACCAGAATGAAAGGGGACAACTCATATTGAGTTATACTTATTATAAAACCCAGGTTGTTTGTGTGTGTGTGTGTGTGTTCATTTATATATGGGATCGGTTTCCTACATTTTTCAAACCGATTTCAACAAAAACTTCACTTTTTTTTTTTTCAGGTAGTGTTTCTTATTGTCTTGCACACTTTTTTTTTTTATTTTTACATTCAGGATGCTTTAAAAATTCCATTTACAAGACAATTGTTTATAATAAAATTCTATTCAATCGATAGACTCATAACGATTGAAAACAATGTTTTTGTTTGAGTTTGGGTTTGACCAATTTGTAAAAAAAAAAACAAAAAAAACAAACTAATTAAGACATGTGTGTCCGTCAACCTTAAACAATAATCTTTGTCAATTTTATTTTTCAGTCTTCATGATGGTCGATACTTGATCTATCTCTTACTGTTACATCCCCAGACAATGCCGGGCTCTACTGCTAGTAATTAATAAATCTAAATTATTAAAAAGTGTAAGTCTTTATGAAGTTAAACTCAGTACAAGATTGACAGCTAGGTTTCATCATTTTACAGCTGAAATTTCTAGATATAACTAGGAGTTCTATGCTAACAGTTTCTCTTCTCTCACACTTCTTACTTACCACTCAACTTTGATCTTCAAACATTTAAATACAATGTCAATCATCATCTTCTGTCTCCTTCAGTGTTCACCATAAATCGAAGCCACCTGAAAGCTTCTCTCAATGACTGCCTCTTCAAACAAATCCATAAATACACTGGGACTCATGAATATTCATCAGGCGATGGTACTATAAGGATTGCACATGCTCACTTCCCATAATTCAAATAGCCGTCTACATGTGAAGCTCACAAATCATCATGCTTGTTTAGCATCAGGTCAGTCAGATATATGCCATATGTGATACATGACTGACAAGGCAGATTTTTTCCTGCAGTAGGTTGCCATTTCTTTCTGCGGGAGACCAGTTGTCATCCAAGGCTACAGAATCCAGTCTGTCCTGGTAATTCATCCAAATATAAACATTGAAACCAATTGGAATTATCCAGTAGTTTGTAATATTTTATCAACAAACAATTTGTAATTACAAATAACTGTTTTCCAACATTTTGAAAATACTGATTTTAATCTGATGTGCTTTAAACTACTAAATAAAGTAAGGCGTTAATTCCATTTTATACTTAATATTTCATCAATAAATGGCATTGTACAGGGTGCAGTAGAAATACCTCCCACATAATAGTAAGACATTAGCGGCAATGGGATCTTCATTTTGCTAGTTTCTTGTCATTATATAGGAGGTATTTCTGTCACTCTCCATCTTAAGAAAGCTAAAAACCTGATAACATACATCATATTTTTTCAAATGTCCTTTCACAAGGCAAAAATGGGCCTCCAATGATTGTTTATTAGCTCCAAATTACCATGACTTCTTGGGATAGACAGTGGAGCAGTTTCCTGTTGCCTTCTTCCATGATTTGGAATTTAGAATAGCCTTTCTCATAGATTGGCTGTAACCAAGGCTAGAAAGTTCAGTCTACTCTGCTATTTAAACCATAAATGGGCAAAACTGGATTTGTGCTTTTCCCAAGACTATTTGTGTGAAAGTGAATGCAACAGACCAGATGAGAATTAGGATCCTTGATTCCACTTTTCATGTTGATAACCACTAATCCCCTTTGTTTGCTATATATAATTACTAAACACGCACAAAATGGAATAAAAATTACTATAAATTTTTATTATGGTCAAGTGATGGAACATGTTATATTTTTACTTTAAATTACTTTCTTTATAATCTCTTTTATTGTAATAATATGAAATACCAGAGTAAAAGAAGAATGTTTGAAAAAAAAAAAAAAAAAAAAAAAAAAAAAAAATCATTATTTTGTGATGATGTTTATACTAACACATTTTGGTAGAAAGTTTCCTTTTCCTTCATGGATACCTTTAAATTCAGACATAAATTCTCATTTTTCACCATTTTTGAATGCTCATTCACAGCAAGACCGAGTTCAAATTCCAGCTAAAGCTGTTGCATTCACTTTTAAACAAATAACCTTAGAAAAGTATGCTTGGTACAAATTAATAGCAAAACTAACTGGGCCTTTTCTTTAGCCTAGTGGCAAAGTGAGCACTGCACGCAAGAGTTTTGTAGTATATGAATGTTTCATGGCCAGAGTGAACAAAAGTTATACTAAATAAGTGAACATGGGGATACAGAAAATTGAGAAACTATAACAGAAAAAGAAATCAAATGAAATGGCTAATTAGAATGTATTAAAAAAAAACAAAAAAAAAAAAAAAACTTCATAAAGGCTTGAGATTGGAACTGGTGAGAGTCGAAACCTGTATTCCTAATTTAAAAGGGGTGTGCAAGTGACAATCTCTGAATATTTTCCTATTCCCCCAAAACACATTTCTCATTCCACCTCTACTTCGGAAAATTAAGAAATATATTCACTGGTTGACCTAGCAGCCCCATCTAGCCCATTAAGGGAATCTGGTTATTTATTCTTGAAATAGTAAAATTTTGAAGTCAGTTTGTAAGCAAAAACCTGCAGAAATTAGGTATTTCTGTACATTTTTCAGATGATCTTTGAAACTACGTGTTCAAAAATTGGCAAATGTTTTTAATCTAATTTTTGGTGTCAGCACATCAAACCTCAGCTTTCATACTGAGTGCAATGTTGATTTTCCAAAAAAGTGAAAGATCAACCTGCCCTAGTGGGATAGAGACGGTCCCCTGGTCATTAGAGAGATGAAGTTGCTTTTTGCCAGAGTAGAAGAATGAAAAGCTTAAAAGAAAGAATAGAAAAAGAAGTTGCTACCATTGTTAAATTGACCATTTGTAGTAAGAGGACTGAAAGGAAAGAAATCCTTATGTAGAGACCAGTGTTCGCTCCAGCTAAAAACAAAGAGCAAAACGGAATAATAAATAGTTTATTTTCAGCTAAAAGGTTACCACAAGTCTGTTAGATATCCAATTCGACAGGTAAACACAACACCAGTTGCAACATAACAGAGAACAGATCACAGTGTGGCTAGTTACAAGATAGCAGGAAGAGATTATGACTAGTGTTGTAAAAGTTCAAAACTCATCATTCCCCACAAGGTAACCTATCAGTAAAGTGTACTAAGAGTTATTGAGGCATGTCTTGTTGTCAGGTTTTACAGCCTTGGTTGGAGACCAGTCTTAGTGAAGAACAACTCTGAATTCAAACTGGCTGAGTGTAGGGTTGGTAACTCCACCCTAGAAAAAAAACTTACTTGATATGAAGACCACAACAGCAATGTTCCACAGGAAAGTCTACAGTACTAATTAAAATTAGTACAGCTCTAAATTAAATTAATTATTGTACCAAATAAAAATCTGATTTTGTCATAAACTGGCAGACACGATGTGTTTAAAGATGGAATGTCTGGAGAACAAACAAAAGAAAGAAAATTAAAAAAAAAAAAAAAAATTACCTGTTTCATTTTCCTCCGATATTGGTTGAATCATCCCCTGATTCCAGCGGCTACCTGCCAAGCCCTCTGAATCGTTAGGAAATGTTTGAGAAGCAGAACCCCCAGACCAATCATTCTGAGGATTAACATCTCTATTCCGCTGTGGTAAGTTTAAGCTGGTTGGCCGCTTCTGTTTTTGAGATGAGGCAGCATTCGAAGGTGCTCCACCAGACGGGCTCCAAGAATGAGGCCGTGCAGGTCCTGATACAGTAGAACTTGATGGGTTTGACTGTGTAGCAGATGGTGGAGTCTGTGACAGAGCTAATGTCGTTGGGAGAGCTTGCATAGTTTCACTGGGTAGATCCGGCCGATTACGTAAGACAAGTTCGTCATCACCCTGCTGTATCCCTTGTTCCAGTGTGTCTTTCTCTTCCACCTCATCATCAGACTCATCCACCTTCTCTGCAACACCATCACTGTTTCGGATGTCACAAGGCAATAAATGAGCATCACAGTTATGCTGAAAGATTTCTTTGCTGGCCCCAGTCTCGGTTTCGTTTTCAAGGCGTTGTTTGATTTCCATGTTGATCAGTTTTTTCTGTAGTGGACTTAAAGACTGTTGCATCTTTTGCTTCAAGTCCAGGCCAGGCACTGCAGTCTCTGCTGATGCGGAGGAATCAAGGAAGCCATTGGGAACATTATCAGAAGATTTATCTGAATTAGGTGAAATTGAAACAGGTGCAATTGTGGCTGCAGCAAATGGGGTATCAAGACATACCTTAGACAAGCCCAACAGACTGTTTGGCCTTGCCATTTTTGGTAAGGGAGGCTCTTTTGGACGAGCACCAAGTATTGATGATTGTTGCGATTCAGGAGATGGTGTGCTCACACCATTCTCCAACGGAGGCCCTGGAAATCCATTTTCTATGGTTCCCGTAGGCTTTGATAGTCTCTTACCGGCAGGTGATTCCCCGGCCATTTTGGTGTCCCTATCACTCGATGATGAAAAACCATTTTCTCCAACGGCTGTGATATCATCATAAATGCATACGTTGTCATGCCCAAGTTTTTCCATTTCTCTAGTGCAGTCTCTCTCACAAATTAGCTGTGTCGCTTGAGGAGCACTATTATGACCATTTGATAGATCCATAGCCTTAGTAGCGTACTCAAAAGGAACAGAAGATGCAGGCTGTGTTGCAGGGTCACCATTACTAACCACTTCAGGTAGTTCCATAGGCGAGTCGGAAGATACCGAATGGACAATACATTCTGCTTGAATCGAGGAAGCTTTAGGTGCAGAAAGAACAGCATCTGCCATTTCTGCAGAGCAACACTCATCTAGATAATCGTCCACATTTTCATCATCATCCATACAATCAAAGCCCACAACTTCTGGTTCCTCTGTTGTTTGAGTATCCAACAAATGGCCAATCGTTCTGGGATTACAAGAGTCCAATGATGTGTTTGTACTACAGTTTTGATCTTTGTTATGTAAGTTGTTGTGCCGGCTGTCAAACTTCTGTTTCTCCTTTAAGGAAGGTTCTAGCAAATTATTCAAACAGACAGCAGACACATCTTCCACAGCTTTTATCACAGTCTCACTGCTTTCATGCATGGGTTCTTCCTGAGAATTGGACATGCTCCAACCGACATTGCACACCAAAGCCTCACCTGCCTTGACAGCTGAAGAATCATAGGCAGTTTCGCTGACCATTGCAACATCATGGTCATCTGGTTTGTCATATATTCCCACACATTCAACAGCTGAATCTGTTCGAGTCTCATTTCTGCTGGCCAATGCATCTTGTGAAATATCACCACAAGAGAGAAATTTGTGATTAGGTGCAAAAGTATCAGTATTCATATGGTGAATAATGAGTGACTCAGTTTTTAAAACAGAGTCTGAAATAGGGGTCAAAAGTCCAGGTGGCTGGGTCTCCTGACATGGTTTTCCTTCAGGTAATTCCAGGTCTGGCCTATCCCTTATAGCCTGCTCACAATCTTCAATCTTTTCTGTCACTGATGCTTCTACTGTTGAAGGAGGTGGCAGTGGTGCAGAAGGAGCAAGTTTAGCATTTAAACAGTTCTGAAAGTTGATTTGATGCTCATTGTGAGCAGAAAGTTTAATAGATGAGGACGATTCACGTTTTCCCTCTTCTTTATGTGAGAGAGAAAAGTTGGCTTCAGATATGTCAAATTTATGGGCAGCTTCATAAGGCATATCATATGTAATTGTTTTGGTAGAAGCTGCATCAATGCCCAGTTGGTGAGAGTTGCTGGCAGAAGTGAGCCCTTGAGTGTAGGCTTCCCATGGATTATTTTCACATGAGGGCAGATAAGAGGAGTATCCACCTGGTTTGATGTCACACCCAGGAACCAGAGCTGATGCTTTTTCTGAAAATTAAAAGAGAAGAAAAAAAAAATTAAAATTCAACTTTTTCAAAAATATCATATAATAGTTGTACTTGTCCCTCCCTTTGTTAGTTCCATAGTTTGCACGACCGTTACACCCTGCCAATACCTCATAAATAATGGAATATTCCGTTTTTATCACGTAGAAATACAAAAAACATATCAGAGATGTTACTTGGTTTCGGTGGAAAAAAAAAAGAAGTGCTTAATGTCTCCTGCCAATGCCTCATAAATAATGGACTGTTCCATTTTGATGTGTGAGACGACAAAAGACCCCTAGTTGGTTTCAGTCAGAAAATGAAAGAAATAATAGAAAATAAAAATGTTTAATGGCTGTTTCACTGAAATGAAAAGTTGTCAGTTTCAAATCTTTTCATTTATATCCCATTTTTAAAATAACTTCAATTCATATTGATGATTGTTATTGCAATGTTGTTGTTCTGCTCAAATATTTAACAATTCAATAGGGGAATTTCTATGCATATTTTATTGTCATAGAACTCACCAAGACCTTATTCAATCATTAACTGAAGATTTAAGATTCATCAAAAACTTAGTAAAACAGAAATTTTTGATGGGTTAAAACTAATAAATATAATTATACTTAACCAGATGAACCCATGGAAATTCCACCAATGTTGACAACTAGGATTATCCATTAATTCATGCTTTGGTTCATCTCTCTATACCTGTATCTCCCCCCCCCTTATCCTATCAACACATATGTTACATGTGTGAAAATGGAATAAGAAATACATAACTATTTCTCTTGCTCTGTCTATATCTATAATTCTCAAAGTGTGTGTGTGTGTGATTGGATGTTGTTTATGCATTTCCACAGTTTTCATGAGATTTCGATAAAATTTTTTTGTTTGAGATAATTCTTCAGTGCCAGTTTTGAGTCCAAATTGATGATGACAATGGCTCTCCACTAGTTCCTGTCCATTATAACTCTCAGCAACGTTTTACTATCTGTTCTTGGATATATATCTTTCATAAAAACCTTAATAAAAATAAATAGTTTAAATTATTACAATAATATTTATTATTATACAGTTCCCTTTCCAGGGTCACACTTCCCATTCAAATTGTTAACCCTCCCCTCCCCATTTAGGGATGTGCCTCAGTTGCACCCAAATGTTGTTACTAATATTGATTTTTGGGTGGGCTGACTTAAACTGCTCCAATTGAATGGCAAAAATTCCCAGTAATGAAAGACCCAGTCAAAGATGGATTATACTGCTAATTTCTTAATAAACAAATTTTCTGTATTTTACACTCTAAGACTTTTCATACCTTTCAATCTATTGATCATTATCTCTTGATATCCAAACAACAAGCCTACTCCTCTTTTGGTCTTTACCCTTCGGTAAAGACCAAAAGAGGAGTAGGCTTTCTTTTGGCTCTACCTTTCAAACCGATAATACACTCTGAAGTAGAAAAGTATGATGGTCATAAATATAATCAAGCAGAATGAGAGTAGTGATATTTTCCTGTCAATTTTTGCATGTTGTTGCCATTGTGCAGAGTATTTCCATCAGCAACCTTTTCAAATATCCATGTGACATAGAAATGGAAAATGCAAAAGGAATCATGAAAAAGTAACAAACTGATTAGTGACAGAGCTTTAAACTATTTAAAAAATATCTAATATAATTTTAGCTTCATAGAAAAACATGCATATCCTACAAAGAATTAAAATTTTCTCAACATTAGTACATTTCATTATGTAGTAACATGCTCTCAAGCAAACATATATACACAATTAGAAAAAAATGGAAGTCTCTACAAGTAATGCAAATACTAATGCCATAAAAAAATTTTAAGCATTTGAATTAAATATTCATCTTTAAACAAACAAATATTATACAAATATTGTGTTCAAGCAAAACGGTGATAATTAAAATTAAACTTTCATATTGCTAATTATATATCGTAAAAATAATAAATGAGTAAAAAATAAAAAATAATAAGTGAAAAGTTTTTAAAAAAATTTTTTGTAACAATATTTTCAGTTTGTTAGGGAAAAAGAAAAATGGCGGCAGAAAGCAAAATTCATCTCATTCTGTAATGAGATGAAAAGAGAGAAATGTGAGCAACATCACTGATTCGTGCAGGAAATGAGATCAATGAGCTGAATTAAAAATTCCCACCTCGTCTGTTGAGTTCAATTTTGCACAAATGCCCTCAGAAAACAGGAATCCACCCTCCAGCTATGGGCTAAATAACAAGGTAGATTTAGGTGGCAGCCACTCAGTGTTCCAAACTATAGAGAAAGCTACCACCCCAGGTCAGGGTAGACCTGGGAATACCAGCAATAAACAGGTGGTTCCACGCTCCTCAAAACCTCCTGAACAAAGGCCTTGCTGTTGGATGTAGTTTATCATCTTACCCAGGACGCACAGAAATCTGATTTCTAGCACATTTATTTCAGGCTTTGAAACATCCTTAAGAAAAAAAATATCAATGCAATTACTTGTCACTTCAGAAATATAAAACACCGTATATGCTAGTATACAGGGCAATTGGGCATATAAGATGACCCACAAATTTTCAAGTTAAAATGTAGGTTTCGGACTATATTCACCATACAAGATGACCCCTCCCCCCACCCAATCATATTTTAAAATGTATTGAATTTATTAAATAAATTCAGTAAGCATATACTTTCTTTTCATCCAAATTCTAATGAAAAAAATCTGGGGAGATATTGTCAATTAAGTACCACAATCTACAATACCTGATGAGTGGGTGCTGTGGTTTCGGTAGCCAATTATAGTAATCTGAATGACTTTTACCTGCTAACCATCCACTTGTTCAACTGTTCTCAAATGCAATCTTTAAATAGTTTGTGGAGACACACTTCCAGTTGTATTTTTTTCAACATCAAGATTTAAGGTTTACATTTTATACCTGGAGAATAAGTCTCCCCCTATTTTTGGGGGGGGGAGGTTAAGGTTAAAAGGTTGCCTTGTACACCAACAGATACAGTATATGCCAAATAAGTTTTCCAGCTGCAACTCTACATATAACCATAAAAATGATATTACAAAATGAACAATTTTCTCCAAGGATATTTTCCTTGTAGAAAAACACTTCTGTGATAGAAATATCTGAAAGATTTATCAATGTAATAAGGCAGACCAAGCTGACTGACAAAACCATAATTATACATTTGATGAAGCATCAAGAGAAACTAATATCATAGTTTTTTTTCTTAAAAAAGAAAATTTTATATTTGGCACATTTTAAATGGATATTAAAATGCCATTTAAATTTAAACCTTGTGTTGCAATTTACTGTTATTCTGAATAGTGAGTGACTGAGCAAGAAAAGGAAAAAAATAGAATTTGTTATTTTTTAACCAAGTTTTCTATAAAATCTGTTTATCATGTAACTCCCAAATTTTCACTTATAAAAAAAATGGTTATCTCATGTATCATGCGAGTTCTTATTTTGAGAGACCAAATTACAATAGACTAACATCTTTTCTACTATCTCTTTATCCCATCTTCTAGTTAAATAAATTAAAAAAGTAAAAGAGAATGATCAAAGTATCCTTAGTAACACTATACTCATTGCATAAACGTGTACAGCCATAAACAACTGACCAAGAAAGAGACATACATCTTATAAATGTAAACAATGGAAAAGATGCATATTTGCTATGTTTGTTATTATAATACGATACTAATATGTGAATATTACATGTGTTATTAAGGAATACAGTTAAGTAAAACATTAGTTTTATCAAAATCATGTTTGTTTTAAATACAGCTGTATGTTTTGCCTACAGTAAATGAATAACCAGAGCCAGTAATGTATACACTAAAAAAATTAGAATTTCAAAAGTTGCATGATATGCAAGTATATCTGGTAACTAAAAGCAATCCAACCCAGGTTGGATGTTCATTTAATTTGACTAAACAAAAACATACATGGTTAAAGGGATTAAATAGGGGCACATGATGAATTTTTAAAATAAAGTCACGCTCAAAATGTTATGGATGAGTTTATGTGCTATACAATGTTACATGTTAAGTCAATTGTCACACAAGTCAATTTTGTGCAAACTGTTTTACTCAATTAATAATTACTTTCACAGACAAAATAATATTCTACAGAATCAAAATCCCCATAACCCATTAGGATTATAGGGGTACAATATGTACTGCAGTCATAACAGTAGTGGTGTATCTTGAGCAAGATTGCCTAACAGAGACCAATGGTGTCCAGGCAGGTTTGAATTCAAAATTTTCCTCCTAGACTGGTTACCAACCAAGGCTATAGAGCCTAAGTCTGTCTTATTTACCCACAGTTGAGACTAGGAAAGATAGATTCACACCTTTCCCAAGGGTATTTGCACAACAAACTCAACTCTTTGATTTCTCACTCTGAGCTGCTATCCATCACCCCAACTGTCCATCCTATCAAAATCAAGTCACTTTTATATAATCAGAGAAAATATGGTCATTGTGAACATAGTTATATACAAATAAACAATTTTTCAGTATATACTAAAAGCAGTTAAAATAACTGGATATGTTTGATTTTTATTCGTGTATTTTAAAACAAGATAGAATTTTGTTTCCCTGTACATGCATATGGGTTTCCATACTTGCAACCAGAACTTTATAACATGATGAAAAGTGGTTGGGGCGACCATATTATAAAAGGAAATCACATGCCATGCAATGCCATATTTCAGTAACTCAAGTTCAACAAAGCTTGGAAGTAGCCACCAAGTTTTTTGTTTTATCATTATATGAAATAAACGTGATTGATAATCAAAAATTATGAAACTGAAGAGTTCCTATTTCTATTCTCATAGAATCAGAATGAAAAAATATATTTGTAATATGTTTAAATAAAAAAAGAAAGAAAGAAAGAAACTAAACTAAACTAGATATCGATCTGAGTAAGCTATAAATGTGTCAGTAAAATTTAGATAAGAACAAATCATAATATTTGTTGCAGATTAA